CTTCAGGCGTTTGGAAATTCCTCCCAAGGATGAACCAGAATTGTGGAGGTATAAAATGATTTTTCTGAGATCTTGGCTGATTTCTTTTGATTTTCCCATGATGTCAAGCGAAGAGGCACTGAGTTTGAAGGTAGGCCTTGAAATACATCCACAGGTACACCTCCAATTGACTCAAATGATGTCAATTAGCCTATCAGAAACTTCTAAAGCCATGACATCATTTTCTGGAATTTTCCAAGCTGTTTAAAGGCACCATCAACTTAGTGTATGTAAACTTCTGACCCACTGGAAATGTGATACAGTGAATTATAAGTTAAATATTCTGTCTGTAAACAATTGTTTGAAAAATTACTTGTGTCATGCACAAAGTAGATGTCCTAACCGACTTGCCAAAACTATAGTTTGTTAACAAGAAATGTGTGGAGTGGTTGAAAAACAAGTTTTAATGACTCCAACCTAAGTGTATGTAAACTTCCGACTTCAACTGTATATACAGACATCATACCACATCCTTAGTGAGACTCATCTTTTTTATTCAACATTGTTTACAGTAGCTACTGTAATGATGGCAGCTACTGGAATGATGAACTTTAGAATGATGGGCTTGGTGCCTGGCCTATGAAATAGCTGCATATAATAAGCAATATGAATGCATGCACCATAATCTACATACGCTTGGCACTCACACATGTTTATACACAACCTCACGGCATATACAGTATGCAGTCACACATATATACATACAATATGTCTAACCCTCTCATCCCTCCTATTACAGTATGCATACTGTTAATACTTGAGAATTGTCTGTGCATTGCGATCAAACTGTGTGCACAAATGAAGGTCATACAGTGGGGGAAAAAAGTATTTAGTCAGCCACCAATTGTGCAAGTTCTCCCACTTAAAAAGATGAGAGAGGCCTGTAATTTTCATCATAGGTACACGTCAACTATGACAGACAAAATGAGAAGAAAAAAAATCCAGAAAATCACATTGTAGGATTTTTAATTAATTTATTTGCAAATTATGGTGGAAAATAAGTATTTGGTCAATAACAAAAGTTTCTCAATACTTTGTTATATACCCTTTGTTGGCAATGACATAGGTCAAACGTTTTCTGTAAGTCTTCACAAGGTTTTCACACACTGTTGCTGGTATTTTGGCCCATTCCTCCATGCAGATCTCCTCTAGAGCAGTGATGTTTTGGGGCTGTCGCTGGGCAACACGGACTTTCAACTCCCTCCAAAGATTTTCTATGGGGTTGAGATCAGGAGACTGGCTAGGCCACTCCAGGACCTTGAAATGCTTCTTACGAAGCCCCTCCTTCGTTGCCCGGCGGTGTGTTTGGGATCATTGTCATGCTGAAAGACCCAGCCACGTTTCATCTTCAATGCCCTTGCTGATGGAAGGAGGTTTTCACTCAAAATCTCACGATACATGGCCCCATTCATTCTTTCCTTTACACGGATCAGTCGTCCTGGTCCCTTTGCAGAAAAACAGCCCCAAAGCATGATATTTCCACCCCCATGCTTCACAGTAGGTATGGTGTTCTTTGGATGCAACTCAGCATTCTTTGTCCTCCAAACACGACGAGTTGAGTTTTTACCAAAAAGTTCTATTTTGGTTTCATCTGACCATATGACATTCTCCCAATCCTCTTCTGGATCATCCAAATGCACTCAGACGGGCCTGGACATGTACTGGCTTAAGCAGGGGGACATGTCTGGCACTGCAGGATTTGAGTCCCTGGCGGCGTAGTGTGTTACTGATGGTAGGCTTTGTTACTTTGGTCCCAGCTCTCTGCAGGTCATTCACTAGGTCCCCCCGTGTGGTTCTGGGATTTTTGCTCACCGTTCTTGTGATCATTTTGACCCCACGGGGTGAGATCTTGCGTGGAGCCCCAGATCGAGGGAGATTATCAGTGGTCTTGTATGTCTTCCATTTCCTAATAATTGCTCCCACAGTTGATTTCTTCAAACCAAGCTGCTTACCTATTGCAGATTCAGTCTTCCCAGCCTGGTGCAGGTCTACAATTTTGTTTCTGGTGTCCTTTGACAGCTCTTTGGTCTTGGCCATAGTGGAGTTTGGAGTGTGACTGTTTGAGGTTGTGGACAGGTGTCTTTTATACTGATAACAAGTTCAAACAGGTGCCATTAATACAGGTAACGAGTGGAAGACAGAGGAGCCTCTTAAAGTAGAAGTTACAGGTCTGTGAGAGCCAGAAATCTTGCTTGTTTGTAGGTGACCAAATACTTATTTTCCATCATAATTTGCAAATAAATTCATTAAAAATCCTACAATGTGATTTTCTGGATTTTCTTTTCTCAATTTGTCTGTCATAGTTGACGTGTACCTATGATGAAAATTACAGGCCTCTCTCATCTTTTTAAGTGGGAGAACTTGCACAATTGGTGGCTGACTAAATAGTTTTTTTCCCCACTGTATAAGGTTGCAAAATTCCGGTAACTTTCCCCAAATTCCCAGGTTTTAAACAAATGCCGTTTATAGAGTCACAAGCTTTATGTAATCATTGCGTGCTAGGAATATGGGACCAAATACTGAAGTTTTGACTACTTTAATGCACATATTAGTGAATTTGTCCCAATACTTTTGGTCCGCTAAAATGGGGGGATTATGTACAAAAATGCTGTAATTTCTAAACGGTTCAGCCGATATGGATGCAAATCCATAAGTACAGAGCCAAAACAACAAAAAATGTGTCACTGTCCCAATACTTATGGAGGCCACTGTATACACAGACTATGAGAGATGGTGTGGCTGTGTTGTGTGCAGTAATGTGTGCTGTTGAGGAGAGGTAGCAGAGATACAGGAGTGGGCGGTCAGCCATCCCTCTCCCACGGCATCAACAAACACACAGCGCACAGCCATGGAATTCCAATTAGTATCATTTTATTAGAAGTGGCTGCCTTTTGGCACAGTTCCTTCATTTATTTTAATCTTGTTTATGCACCTTGATTGTTTCACAATATAGATTTATTTTAATTAGCTAAGATGGATTACATTTCATTGATTCTATATCCTTATTCAAATGAAATCCCCATCCTCCCTCCCCCCTGCGATGTTATTTTTCATAATTAATGGTACAGTCTGGGACTAGGGCTGGGGGTGTTATAGCGAAAGCTTTGACCATTTTGTAATCAAGGCAAGGTTTATCATTATTTATTGCCTGTGCTGTCACATTGTTGTGTCGTGAAAGGCGTTTTTTGAGTTTGTGGAGAGGCTGTGTGATCGATGAAGTTTGGTGACAGAGCTCCTGTTGCATGTCTGCCTGCCGTTCTGTTCTGCCTCAGTCACAAGATAAGATAGAGACCAGCTCTAAGCCCTGCTGCTCCTCAGACTCACACTCAGACTGCTCTTTTGTCTTTAGCTGAGAGTTCAGCCTCTGTCCACTCTACAGACAGACAGACAGACAGACAGACAGACAGAACCTGAGAGCACTGACCTTGGGCGGGGGGCCCAGTGTGTGTGTGTGTGTGTGTGTGTGTGTGTGTGTGTGTGTGTGTGTGTGTGTGTGTGTGTGTGTGCGTGTGTGTCGAAGCGGCTGCAGACGCCATGGTTAACACCAACGCCTCCTTCCCAACCCAGAGCTCTTTTAATTTTGATTGATGACTCCGTTTATCTTCTGCATAACAACCCTCCACCCCCACCTCCCCCACTCTCCATTTTCCCAGCTCCCGCTGCCTTCCACACACACACCCTGTAAGAAAATGATATTAGAAACAAAATGAGATTTGAAATGTTATGTTTGACAAGCGACTTGATGAAAGGGTTTCATTGCAGGGCCTGATCCATGGAAATGTTATGCTAATAATACTGCTGGCCAAGCGATCTAGTTGGAAATTAATCAGTGGTTGAGCTGCGAGACAGAGAGGGAGAGGGAGAGGGAGAGAAGCTGCTTTATAAACACCCTTCCCCCATTCCCTCACCACCCCTCTCTCCCTCTCTCTAGCTCTGAATCTCATCAGAAATAGCCATGGGGTGTTGTCTGTGTGATGAGGTTGGGAGAGAAATAGGGAGTTAGAAAATTACACTGCAGCTTAGCACTGATTGATGCGGTAATGTATGCAGCAGGCCAGGCAGGCAGGCAGGCAGGCAGGCTGTATTAGGGATTAGAGCTCTCCCTCCCTCTCCCTCCCTCTCTCTCCCTCATTCTCTCTCTCTCCCTCCCTCCACACCAGTCCCCCTCCCTATATCTGTCCTACTATTATTATTATATTTACCCTGTTCATCTGTCTCCTCTTTTCTCTGCATGTATCTTTTACCTCCATATTTGTGTGTGTGTACACGGTTTGTGATGTCACAGACTGCCTCAGTCCATCCTCTGACTCCCTCCCTCCCTCCCTCCCTCTCTCCATCCCTGGGAGACGTCAATGCACTGGAGTCACTAATGGAGTCATTATCAGATTTAACTCATTTAAAAGAACACAATTAGTGCTGGGGTCTTAATGATGTTTGCAAGTTAAATGCAAACTAATCGTTTTTCTCTCTTCCTTTCTCTCTCTCAAACTCTCTTATTCCTGGCTTAGTAAGAACGAAGGAGTAGATGAATCACAGAAGTGTTTTGTGAGTGTGGGTGTGTGTCTCCCAGCCATGTTAGAAGTCTGTGGGATTTGTTATTTTTACCCCGAGAGCCATCTGTTACACTGCTCCTTATTTTTGTAATGCATCATCAGCCAGGGAAGAAATAATATTATCCCATCTCGGATATTGTACTCTGGAGTGTAATAATCTAATGTAGCGCTGGTGTCATTAAAGTGCCACAGTGAGGCTGCAGGGAGAGGAAGGAAGGTGGGCTGAAGGAGTGTACTGGATCATATCTGTTTGTTCTGTCTGTGTGTCCCCTATACCCTCCATATGTGTGTATACATACACACACACACACACACATTCTCCCCATACACTCCCTCACTGACATTCCCCTCTGTCTCCAGTGGGACAGCCAGCAGGGGGCAGTGTGTGTTCTGCGCGGGAAGCTGCAGCGGTGTCAGGCGGAGGCCCGGGCTCAGCAGGAGAGCAGGGAAGAGGAGGTGTCGGGCTTGAGGGCTGAGCTACAGGAGGCCCAGGGCAGGCTGCAGCAGTGTAGAGGAACCATGGAGCACCTCCGCTCTGACCTGGAGCACGCCCAGAGACAGACCAGGCAGGCAGAGGATGAGGTGGGTGGGAGCAGTGAGAGGAGTACAGTACACAGAAAGAGAGGAACATGGATTTCTCTTCACTTTGATAAGCAATGAAGTACCCTCAATACTGTGCCTATTGCAGGTTTATGTAAGCCATTATACAGGCATATTGAAGTAGAATACAGTGTTCTGAGAATGTGTGTGATGTCCCCAGGCATCTGATAGGGAGAGCCGTCTGCGGGGCCAGGAGGCAGAGTTATCCAGGCTGAGGGCTGTGCTGCAGGAGGCTGAAAGCAGAGCAGCGGACACAGAGGCCAGGCTGCAGCCCCTGACCCAGTCCCTGGAGCTGTACAGGACCAAGTACCAGGCCTGCATCACAAAGATCTCCCAGCAGGACAGCACTTTACAGGCCCAGGACGAGGACCTAAAGGAAGCCAGGGCTCAGGTCAGCTACCACGCCATCCTCACCCTGCAGGAAAACTAAGAACTGATACTGGAGCTTTTTTATAGTATTTCGAGAGCTTCTATCTGCTAGAGGTTCTGTCTGCTAAAAGATGATTCTGAGATAATTGGCTTTAAAGTTACGAACCCTCATTGGTTTGAATGGTGTCAGCAATTTTTATCTAGTATAAATATTTTTTACTTAACAACATGAATTGGGGTATTTAGAGTACTATATAGGTAGAGAACATTGAACAGAACAAGGCTATGTCAATAACTCAGTTTTGACAAAAATACAGATAGAACCTTCTAGTCCCAAGCTCTCAAAAAATTTTTTTTCACTGCTGCTTATACCCATGTTGCCAGGAGTTGATCTTGCATACATCTCTAGGCCTGATTTATGAGTGTTAATAGCATGTATTTTGTATCTACATGTGTGTTTGTGTGCCTGCCTGTGTCCCCCTGTGTGTCTGTTTACCAGGTGGTGGAGCGGGAGGAGCATGTGCTGCGTCTGTGTGCCCAGGCGGTGGTGTTGCAGGGGGAGCTGAAGGCCCACAGTGCCCAGCTGGAGAGTGGGGATGACGCCCTGAGTGCCCTAAGCCAGCACCTCCGAGACACCCAGAGAGACCTGGAGGACAGCCGCAAACACAGCCAGGAGTGTGAGATGGTCATCAGCACACTGAGAGACAGCACCGCCACACTGAGACGACAGGTCAGACAGTCAGTCAGTCAGACCAGTTAGGCCAGTCAGTCAGGCAGGCCGAGCCTCATCCACAGGGCTGTAACTTCCCAATGACAGATTTGTCCACAGACAAACCCAGTCACACTGTGCTGATCACTCCCTTTCCACTACAAACATAGATGAACATACTAGTCCACTCAGTCGTTTCCCCCTACACAGTCAGGCCCACTCATCCTGCTCACTACCCCTGCTACCTGGAACAGTGGCAGTCATGCGGCTAAGTCAAATCCAGTCAAGTAGTACAAGCACTGTAGTATACCCAACTAGCCTCTCAGGTGAGTGAAGCTACATGCAGGTCAGTTGTTGCGCCACACCTGCTGTAGGTAAGGCTCCATCTCTGCTCCTGATCTGTAAACAGGTGGAGTCAGACAGGGTACAACACAACACACTGTGAGTTGGAGGCCTGGGGACCTCTGGAAGTGTTTTCACTGATTCCTATTGATCGGCGTCATGGCTCCTATACAGGAGGAAACACAATGAGAAAACACAGGCAGTGTGAGGTCCCTGGACAGCACAGAGCACAGCACAGAGCACAGCCGTTAATGGCTGGCAAGAAGGAGGAGAGAGGAGGGGAGTTGGTGTGGTGGGAAGACTGGATTACATGGGCAGAGCAGTGGAGAGGAAGGATTGATGTTTGGACTTGTTTGGGTGTGTGTGGTTGTGTGCATGCATGTGTGTGTGAGACATGGGGTGGTTGACAGCTCCATGCACGGAAGAAGCAAAGTGGAAAATCATGCTGGGGATGCGATATGTGGCTGAAATAATGGCCGCCCTGCCCAGTGGAGCTCAGTGTTTAGCTGGTGTGGAGGTGGCTGGAGATCCAGTGGGGCGCTTACCTCCTTCTGTGAGCCCACAATGGAGGTGCCATTCCCATCACCTCCAGCTCTCACCCTCCCCTCTCCACTGCTGTAACCAAGGCCTTCCCTCTCCACTGTGTACCCCCCCTCACCACCTGGGTCCCTAACAACACCCCCTCCCACACAGCAGAGCTCCATTAGCAACACAGAGGCTCTCAATCACACACACACACACACACACACACACACACACACACACACAGTATTGATCTCTCCCGTCCTCAGCTTGGTCCTTAGAGCACACAGCGCGACACACCACCCACTCGGTTCATCAGTCTCTATCTCTCACCCACGGTGTGTATGTGTGGTGTGTGCATGAGTGTTGACCTGCATACCTTTTAAGTGATCGCTTCCTGCCAAGGTATTTTTTCACACCAATGTTTCTTTACCTCTTCCCCAAGTTTACATTTGTTGTCTGGAAACTGGTGTGTGTGTGTGTGTGTATGTCTGTGTGAGAGAGGGAGGTAGAGAGAGAGAGAGAGTCTGATTTAATTTAATGAGCCGATCGCTCTGAGTCTGCTGTGAGACATCAGTACAACAAGGTGATTTCACCACCTCTCTCACTCCATCTTCATCCTGCCTGTAATGACCCCTGGCTTTATGAACACTACAGACACTGTGCAGTAAAGGCTGTCTGGAAAACAAAGACAACAAACAACAACAGTGGGTAATGAGAGGAACACCGTATTCAGATAGATATATTATCCTCATAAACTTAGAGGCTATTTGGGAGTGTTTTATATGTGTAGCAGTACAAGGTAATCCTGACAAACCACCAACACCCGATAGGACATTTTGACTCTCTGTGTGTGTGTGTGTGTGTGTGTGTGTGTGTGTGTGTGTGTGTGTGTGTGTGTGTGTGTGTGTGTGTGTGTTAATGTGAAGCCATTGTGAGGGCCTCAGACAGACCGACTCATCTGTGAGAAGCAGAATGTGCTCCAGTCACGAGCCATCAGGCCCAGCACAGCATGCAGACCGAGGAGACAGAGGGGAAACGTTCTGTTTGTCTGTCTTTGCTTCATTAGTGTGAACTCACCCAGCACCTCAGCCCCAAACTTACAGTCTCATAGTGGGCCCCAGCCTGCCTCACCCACAGTCAGACAGGAGGACCACATGCAGTCTGCCCTTCAACCATAGTCTCATAGAGCTCCAGCCAGTCCCTTCTGTCTCTACCTCTCAACACTCAACTACACAACACCGGAAGGATAAGGGAGGAGGGACCTACTAAAGTCAACCCCATGACAGTAGTTCTGTACCGGTCTGTCAACAGATATATGTTTGTTCCTGTGTGTGCCTCTCTCAGGTGGAGGAACAGGAGGAGAGTGTGGTGAAGAGCCAAGCTGATTTCTCTGTCTACAGAGCCACTCACATCCACTCTGTCTCAGACTACGACTCCCAGCTCTCCCGCATCCAGGAACTACAACAGGTACGATAGGATCAGAACACTTCACCTCTTCATGCAGGAGTCCTGCTAACATAACTGTGGCCAGTGAAATCACAGTGACCAGAGAAAGTTATTGTCTTTGATACTTCACTTATCAACTATATTTTGTGTTAAATGCTCTACAACAAAGCTTTCTTAGTGTCCAACAAGCTTTCTCTGCCATTAACCTTGTTCTGAACACCTCCAAAACAAAGGTGAACACCGGTGTGATTTCTACCTCTAAGGGTTTAGAGCTTGAGTTAGTCACCTCATACAAGTGCTTGGGAGAATGGCTAGATGGTACACTGTCCTTCTCTCAGCACATATCAAAGCTGCAGGCTAAGGTTACATCTAGACTTGCTTTCCTCTATTGTAAATGCTCCTCTTTCACCCCAGCTGCCAAACTAACCCTGATTCAGATGACCATCCTACCCATGCTAGATTACTGAGACATAATTTATAGATTGGCAGGTAAAGGTGCTCTTGAGCGGCTAGATGTTCTTTACCATTCGGCCATCAGATTTGCCACCAATGCTCCTTATAGGACACATCACTGCACTCTATACTCCTCTGTAAACTGGTAATCTCTGTATACCCGTCACAAGGTTGATGTTTATTTATAAAACCCTCTTAGGCCTCACTCCCCCCAATCTGAGATACCTACTGCAGCCCTCATCCTCCACATACAACACCCGTTCTGCCATTCACATTCTGTTAAAGGTCCCCAAAGCACACACATCCCTGGGTCGCTTCTCTTTTCAGTTCGCTGCAGCTAGCGTCTGGAATGAGCTACAAAAAACAGTCAAACTGGACAGTTTTATCTCCATCTCTTCATTCAAAGACTCAATCATGGACACTTTTACTGACAGTTGTGGCTGCTTCACATAATGTGTTGTTGTCTCTACCTTCTTGCCTTTGTGCTGTTGTCTGTGTCCAATAATGTTTGTATCATGTTTTAGGCTGCTGCCATGTTGTGTTGCTACCATGTTGTTGTCATGTGGTGTTGCTACCATGCTGCATTGTCATGTGTTGCTGCCATGCTGTGTTGTTGTATTAGGTCTCTCTTGTTGTGATGTGTGTTTTGTCCTATATTTAAATTTTTAATCCCAGCCCCTGTCCCCGTAGGAGGCCTTTTGCCTTTTGGTAGGTCGTCATTGTAAATAATTATTTGTTCTTAACTTACTTGCCTAGTTAAATAAAGGTTAAATAAAATAAAATATATAAAAATAAATAGTTAGAAGTTTGGTCCTACTGTATGTTCAGTAAGTTCACTGTATTTCAGTGTATTCCAACCATGGCTTTAAACTGACCCTAGACAGGAAGTCAGAGCAGCCATCGCCAGACAGACGCCAACCCGCACCAACCAAGGTCCATAACGGCTGCGGTGACTAATTGTTTGTTATGTCAGCGTGCGTGTGCCGTTTGCCTTTAATGGAGTGTAGTGGGGCGATCCATCAGTCTGTCGAGCAGGCCCAGTGTCAGCTGGAGTGGCTGGCGTGTCAGAGGAGCGCCCGCACTGCGCCGACGTGATTTACTGCCCTGCTCCCGACGCACGCAGCCGCCCCGCCACCGCTCCCTGTTCCACTCCGACTCGGCCCAGATTGATTACCCAGCTCGGCTGGCCCACGATGCCCACCATCTTCTGGCAACCTTTTAGCTGCATTTTATAGATGGTTAGAGCACCTCGTTTGACTATTTATACATCTGTAAGTGGCCATGAAATCTAGATTTGTCTTGACGGGTGTCAGCGTCAGGGGTAGTGAAACCAGAGCCTGGTGACAACTCGTTATTTTAATGGTCTGAGATGAAGGGGGAAGATGGCAGGATCTTCCCTCCGCAACATGGCTGAATTATACTCTTTTAGTTTCACTTAATGTTTACGCACATATTTCACTCAAAGCTGTTGGCCTGTATTTTCTCCACCACGTTTGATAGGGTCTGAGAGCAGTGGGGAGATGGCTAACACACATACACACACACTCTACTGGAGGAAGTGTGTGTTCAGCTGAGGAGAACACTTGACAGTGACATGTTGACCTGTCAGCTGCCTGCGCACACACACAAACACACACACACACACACACAGATTCACACACAAGGTCTCCTAGGTAAATATGTGCTGGCAGCCACACAGTGCAGTTGGCTGGTTAATTGAATAGTTAAAACATCAGAAGTAGGTCTGTGCAGATTGGATGTGACACCTGTCAGATAGGTGCTCCTCTAACGCAGGACACTTCCTCCACACACTGATACATATGCCGTCTTGGTGGGAATGCCAAATTAGGGGCAGGCGCTTCACTGAACGCGCTAAAGCAGGTGTGGAGATGTCCTGGGGGGGGGGGACATTGCTATGCTGGGTCCCTCAGGTGAGGATGTGGAAAGCCTGGGGCTTCGGTCCTCCCCTTCCCCTCAGGCATAGTCACAGGTGTGTGTGTGTGTGTGTTTGTGCGTGTATGTGTTTATGTGTATGTGTGTGTGTGTCTAGGCATTCTCCCAGGCCGTGGAGCAGTGTGCCCAGGGCAGCCAGGACCTCAGTGTGTGCCAGTCGGAGGTTCGTCAGCTGAGAGAGGAGGTGTCCAGACTCACCCAGCTCAAGGACAACACTGTTGCAGGTGTGGAGGGCATGACACAACTCAACCAATAACTTTGTGTTTACGATAGAATACATAAAGGGTTTATTTTTGACTGCATTGTGTGTGTGTGTGTGTGTGTGTGTGTGTGTGTATTCATGTGTGTGTTTACGGTGTGCTGTGTGTGCTGCAGAGGTGCTGCGGCTGCAAGAGGCTGGGAGGCAGCTCCAGGCAGAGGCCATGATGGAGGGCCAGCGTAGGCTTGAGGAGGTGGGAGCTCTAGCGCAGACGGCTGCCAGGCTGGAGCAGGACCTGCAGGCCGCCCACAGCCAGTGTGCCCAGAGACAGCAGGTACATACTGGGGCACGAGGCCAGGCCAGGCCCACTCACCTCCAACATACCTGGAGGATAGAAAGAGCTTACATACAACTACTCACTCACTGACATACTCACTCAGAACTTCAGGAAGTGGAAAACACGCACACACACACACAAATAGAATACTCTGGGTAAGAGGATACACACAGGAGTATATGTTCACATGTACTTTGACTGAGCCTTCCCTCTTTTCCCTCCCAGGCGGTGCAAAAGCGGGATACCCTCCTGAGGCGTTCGGAGGCTGACCTGCTGGAGGCCCGGGAGACTCTGAGGAGTCGGGCTGTGGCGGTGGAGCGGCAGGCGGCTGCAGCCAGGGGCCTGGAGGCTGACGTCCAGAGGGCCAGGAGGGAAGGCCAGCAGAGAGAAGCAGAGTGTGGCTCTCTCAGGACCCAGCTGATGACCCTCAGGGAGGAACTAAAGGAGGCCCAGGGACGCTGCAGGGACACGGGTAGAAGGAGGACACACAGTCCTGGGGGGTGGGCTGGGAGACTGGTGTCTATAAAGGTGGACTCATGTGTTTCAGAGTGTAGTCAGGTACATTTATAGCTCTCTCTCTCTCTCTCCCTATTTCTCTGTCTTGCTCTGTCTCTCTTTGTCTGTTCTCTCTCTCTCCTTCCCACTTCCTTGGTGGAGAAGAGGTTCCAAAAACAGTTAAAAGCAAAAGAGGCATGAAGAAGAAGGAATGAGAGTGATGCTGATGGAAGGAGAGAAGGGGAGAAAGAGGAGAGTGACAGGGTTGTAGTGGCAGCAGCAGTGACAGGGTTGTAGTGGCAGCAGCAGTGACAGGGTTGTAGTGGCAGCAGCAGTGACAGGGTTGTAGTGGCAGCAGCAGTGACAGGGTTGTAGTGGCAGCAGCAGTGACAGGGTTGTAGTGGCAGCAGCAGTGACAGGGTTGTAGTGGCAGCAGCAGTGACAGGGTTGTAGTGGCAGCAGCAGTGACAGGGTTGTAGTGGCAGCAGCAGTGACAGGGTTGTAGTGGCAGCAGCAGTGACAGGGTTGTAGTGGCAGCAGCAGTGACAGGGTTGTAGTGGCAGCAGCAGTGACAGGGTTGTAGTGGTAGCAGCAGTAACAGGGTTGTAGTGGCAGCAGCAGTGACAGGGTTGTAGTGGCAGCAGCAGTGACAGGGTTGTAGTGGCAGCAGCAGTGACAGGGTTGTAGTGGCAGCAGCAGTGACAGGGTTGTAGTGGCAGCAGCAGTAGCAGCAGTAGCAGCCTCTAGGGCTGACTTTAATGAGCCGTGTGAGACGGTCATCTGTTTACGTGCTGCCTGCCCCAGAATCCTCAGCAGCTAGCCAGCAGCTAGCCAGCAGTGAAGCAGCCCATCAATTCACAGCCTGGGGCCTTTTGTCTGACACACACACTCACTCACACTCACACCATGCATACTAAGATGCATATGCACTCAGAGGGACAATAAAAATAATAAACAACGGAACATGCATCAATGCAGAAGAAGGGCAAATCAACACACAAGATAACAGATAACATATGTAATATAATAGTGTTGTTGATAGTAAATGGTAAAAGATGTTGTGTCTATCTTTGTGTCTCTCTCTCAGCTCAGGAGCTGGCTCGTCAGGAGGAGAAGGTGTTGCTGGTGGAGGGGGGGCAGCATCGGGCACAGCAGCACCTGGCAGAGCGGGTGGCAGAGGTGGTGAGGGCAGAGCAGGCCCAGAGGACGCTACAGGCAGAACTACGCACCCTAAAGGAGAGACTCCGCACCACAGAACATGAGCTGCAGGGCTACAGGTACACTACAGGGCTTTGGGTTCCCTAACGCACTCTGACTGCCTCTGTCTGTCTGCCTCCATGTAGAGGTCTGCACGGGACTGATTTCTTCATCCTACTCCCTCCTGCAGCCGCAGCTTTTCATACCGCACCCGCCCGCTGCCGCTGGCTTTCTGTCCGACTCCCACCCACTCCCGCAAGAACTGGTCCCAAACCCAACCGCTGTCCCGCAATGTGATTTTAGGCGTATGTGACGCAGCTAGCTTGCCAGCCATGGTCCCAGCTATTTTGCGCTCTATAGACAATATCAGAATGCGCTAAAATAACCTAAGAAATAGGTAACATTACCAGAGATTCTCACATTCTCCATTATATTAGGCTATCGGTATTACTGGGCTATATCAGCCAATAGGTTAGACGTAGTATGAAGAGAGCAGAGTTGGAGAGAGAGCGGACACTTGCACTTTCTCTTGAGATACGTTTAATAGCCTACCTTTTAGGAGCGGGACGAGTTTCAGACGGAGACAAATATGGGTGATCAATATTTATTTCTAGGCAATGTAGTAAACTATAGCCTAATTATATTTAGGAAGCTAATTTCCTTGGAAAGAGAACTGCCCTGTGCTTCTCCGTCCATGCATAGGCTATAGCCTACTCTATTGAATTGAGATCAAACGCGCACCTGATCTCACACACCCAACTAGGAGAGGTATGGCTACTGAACTTGAAGCAGCAACAATCATGACAGCTGACAGCTGCACTTTCTCTTGAGCTACGTTTTGCATATAGAATATAGCCTACCTTTTAGGAGCGGGACGATTTGCAGGCAGAGACAATTATATGCGTAATCAATATTTATTGAAAAAGGAAAGGCGCAATGCTCACCATGGTATTTGAGCGTTGTGCCTTTTCCTTTTCAATGATGATCTAATTTTTGCATTGCACCTTGACTCACGTTGGTTGAGCACCCTCCGCATCTTTCCATTATCAAAATGTATTTACAGACACTTGTAGTAAACTATAGCCTAATCATATTTAAGTTAATTTCCTTGGAAAGATTCATCCAAATTCATCCCAAAGTGGTCTGTCTGACCGGCCGCAGGATGAAAAATGCCGACCGCGACGCAATGAATCTCTGCCCTCTACCTCCAAGCACACAGCATGACTTCATTTCATGAACCTTGTCTTTAACCCCAATTCTTCACATTTCACAGAGCCATTAGTTCAACAGTGACTTGAGTGTGTACTGAACGCCATGAGCCTATAAGACTGTCTCATTCCCATTTAGTTCCAAACTGAACCTTAGTCAATAAGGCCACAGTGTCTTTATAACTCAGACAAGCCTCTCAAACAGACAAGCCTCTCAAACAGTCACTAAATAAGGCCTCACACACACTCTCAATCCTGTCTGTATCTTAGTGGCTGAGAGAAAGAGAGAAAAGTGTTTTGGCTTTGTGACCCTTGGCACGCTGCCTCCCCCGCTCTCCCCCTCCTCCCCCCTGTCCATCTGGGCTGTGTGTGCGCCAGCCGCTCGATAGGCGGATCATTCCAGGTCGGGGCCCTCTTGTGAAATCAGATGTTTAACTGGCCAGGAGAAGAGGAATGGGAGCGTCTTAACCAGCACCTTGCCAAAGGTCTCCTGTTCAGTCAGCCGTCCTGCCGCTTGGAGAGCGCCCGCAGCCTGCCAATAGGCATTAGGGAGGATTTAGTAATTAAGTGATAGGCTGAGGACTAAATTGGGTGTTTGTGGGCTGGCGAGCCACCCAGAGGTCCCCACAGCCATGCAGATAGGGGATTCTAATTGCCAGGGATATTGATCAGCCTGGCGAGGGGGGATGCAGGGGATTCACGAGCCATCGATTAGCTGTTACTGCGGCCGCCTTGTCAATGGGAGAGGGAGGTGAGCACTGAGAAGGCTCTGGGCTTTTTCCCCCCCCACACACACACACACACACACACACACACACTCTCTCTCAAACACTCACTCACTTCTGGAAGGGCTTTACCACTCAACCCCCGCCCACCTCCTCTCTATATCTCTCTCTTTTTCTTAGACTGTCTAAAGGTGTTGCTTCTCGAATGGGTATTGGCAGAGAGGAGGGGCAGCTCATTGGTAGAACATGTCCAGAGGGAGTGCCACCCTCACACTCTGCTCTATGTACAGTATAAGTTCCTCCTTCACACTCTGCTGGTGTGTCCCTCGTCACCCTCCCTAACGCGTGGTGTGTCACTCCGTGGGCAGGCGAGGGCTTTGACGCTTGGCTGTGGTCTGAGTTAATGTCTCAGGGAGAGAGGGCACTGGACTGGGCCGCTCTCTGGGATTTGATTAGCTGCTTCACCTGGCGGTAAACAGGCCCTGGCCACCCCTCACACACACAGCTCTGATCCCATCACTCACACCCCGGCGCCCCATCAGCCCAACGCTCGCCCCACTAAACCATGCCACACCGCAAAGCGTAGCACAGCCAGAATTAGTGCAACGTCCTCTCATTAAATGTTAAGGCTTGCCTGCTCAGATTAAATCTGGCATACACAAACACACACGCATTACTCTCCAATGATTACGTTTCTCGCATTACATAATAAGATCAATTAAATTCCCTTTCATTTTGAAAATGTGAACAAGAGTGAAAACAAAGTGTACAGCATGTTGGGGGTAGCTATGGCAGAGAGAGGTATCAAACATGCTAGTTTGAAAGGAGTGGTCGTTTAAAGACTGGGAGCCCAGCCCCTGACTGACGGTGTGTCTGTGGCTGTGTGTGTGTATCAGGACCCAGGTGGAGAGTCTGAAGAAGGAGGCAGGGGAGAGCAGGCAGGCCCAGCTCAGTGCTCAGCAGGAGGCCAACACACACCAGCAGGGGGCTCAGCAGCTGGAGGCAGAGCTGACCAGCACTAAGGATACACTCAGGACCCTACAGCAGCAGGTAAGACCTAACATTAACACGTACAGCAAACCAACCAACCAACAGGTTCCTACAAACTGTGTCCTGAAACCACAGTCACCACTTTGGGGAGCCTCGCACTTGGCTGACAGTGAAAGGGACTCCACAACACCTCCTCTACCCTAAGTAATTTAGGGCCTGTTACACTAGAGGGACAGTCTTTTCACGCCACTTCGATACCGAAGTGACTTTGTCGTAGCAGGTTATGAGATTGAGGTTAAGATTAGGAAAATGGTTAGGATTAGCGAAAATGCTCTCCTAACCTGCTACGAAAATCACTTTGTATCGAAGTGGCGTGCAAAGAGGGTGTCCCGATACACTAGAATTGTCGCAACCCCTATTACTAGCCTGTTCAACCTCTCTTTCGTAACGTCTGAGATCCCCAGAGATTGGAAAGCTGCCGCGGTCATCCCCCTCTTCAAAGGGGGTGACACTCTAGATCCAAACTGTTACAGACCTATATCCATCCTGCCCTGCCTTTCAAAAGTATTTGAAAGCCAATTTAACAAACAGATCACCGACCATTTCGAATCCCACCGTACCTTCTCCGCTATGCAATCCGGTTTCCGAGCTGGTCATGGGTGCACTTCAGCCACGCTCAAGGTCCTAAACGATATTATAACCGCGATCGATAATAGACAGTACTGTGCAGCCGTATTCATCGACCTGGCCAAGGCTTTCGACTCTGTCAACCACCGCATTCATATTGGCAGACTAAATAGCCTTGGTTTCTCAAATGACTGCCTCACCTGGTTCACCAACTACTTCTCAGATAGAGTTCAATGTGTCAAATCGGAGGGCCTGTTGTCTGGACCTATGGCAGTCTCTATGGGGGTGCCACAGGGTTCAATTCTTGGGCCAACTCTTTTCTACGTGTATATCAATGATGTCGCTCTTGCTGCTGGTGACTCTCAGATCCACCTCTACGCAGACGACACCATTTTGTATACAGTGGGGGAAAAAAGTATTTAGTCAGCCACCAATTGTGCAAGTTCTCCCACTTAAAAAGATGAGAGAGGCCTGTAATTTTCATCATAGGTACACGTCAACTATGGCAGACAAAATGAGAAAAAAAAATCCAGAAAATCACATTGTAGGATTTTTTATGAATTTATTTGCAAATTATGGTGGAAAATAAGTATTTGGTCAATAACAAAAGTTTCTCAATACTTTGTTATATACCCTTTGTTGGCAATGACACAGGTCAAACGTTTTCTGTAAGTCTTCACAAGGTTTTCACACACTGTTGCTGGTATTTTGGCCCATTCCTCCATGCAGATCTCCTCTAGAGCAGTGATGTTTTGGGGCTGTCGCTGGGCAACACAGACTTTCAACTACCTCCAAAGATTTTCTTCTGTGGCTAGGCCACTCCAGGACCTTGAAATGCTTCTTACGAAGCCACTCCTTCGTTGCCCGGGCGGTGTGTTTGGGATCATTATCATGCTGAAAGACCCAGCCACGTTTCATCTTCAATGCCCTTGCTGATGGAAGGAGGTTTTCACTCAAAACCTCACGATACATGGCCCCATTCATTCTTTCCTTTACACGGATCAGTCGTCCTGGTCCCGTTGCAGAAAAACAGCCCCAAAGCATGATGTTTCCACCCCCATGCTTCACAGTAGGTATGGTGTTCTTTGGATGCAACTCAGCATTCTTTGTCCTCCAAACACGATGAGTTGAGTTTTTACCAAAAAGTTCTATTTTGGTTTCATCTGACCATATGACATTCTCCCAATCCACTTCTGGATCATCCAAATGCACTCTAGCAAACTTCAGACGGGCCTGGACATGTACTGGCTTAAGCAGGGGGACACGTCTGGCACTGCAGGATTTGAGTCCCTGGCGGCGTAGTGTGTTACTGATGGTAGGCTTTGTTAATTTGGTCCCAGCTCTCTGCAGGTCATTCACTAGGTCCCCCCGTGTGGTTCTGGGATTTTTGCTCACCGTTCTTGTGATCATTTTGACCCCACGGGGTGAGATCTTGCGTGGAGCCCCAGATCGAGGGAGATGATCAGTGGTCTTGTATGTCTTCCATTTCCTAATAATTGCTCCCACAGTTGATTTCTTCAAACCAAGCTGCTTACCTATTGCAGATTCAGTCTTCCCAGCCTGGTGCAGGTCTACAATTTTGTTTCTGGTGTCTTTTGACAGCTCTTTGGTCTTGGCCATAGTGGAGTTTGGAGTGTGACTGTTTGAGGTTGTGGACAGGTGTCTTTTATACTGATAACAAGTTCAAACAGGTGCCATTAATACAGGTAACGAGTGGAGGACAGAGGAGCCTCTTAAAGAAGAAGTTACTATTATATTAAAGTTACAGGTCTGTGAGAGCCAGAAATCTTGCTTGTTTGTAGATGACCAAATAATTATTTTCCACCATAATTTTCAAATAAATTCATAAAAAATCCTACAATGTGATTTTCTGGAAAAAAAATTCTCAATTTGTCTGTCATAGTTGACGTGTACCTATGATGAAAATTACAGGCCTCTCTCATCTTTTTAAGTGGGAGAACTTGCACAATTGGTGGCTGACTAAATACTTTTTTTCCCCACTGTACATCTGGCCCTTCATTGGACACTGTGTTAACAAACCTCCAAACGAGCTTCAATGCCATACAACACTCCTTCAGTAGCCTCCAACTGCTCTTAAACACTAGTAAAACTAAATGCATGCTCTTCAATCGAACGCTGCTGGCACCCGCCCACCCGACTAGAATCACTACTCTCGACGGATCTGACCTAGAGTATGTGGACAACTACAAATACCTAGGTGTCTGGTTAGACTGTAAACTCTCCTTCCAGACTCACATTAAGAATGTCCAATCCAAAGTTAAATCTAGAATCGGCTTCCTATTTCGCAACAAAGCCTCCTTCACTCATGCTGCCAAACATGCCCTCGTAAAACTGACTATCCTACCGATCCTTGACTTCGGCGATGTCATTTACAAAATAGCCTCCAACACTTTACTCAGCAAATTGGATGTAGTCTATCACAGTGCCATCCGTTTTGTCTCCAAAGCCCCATACACTACCCACCACTGTGACCTGTACGCTCTTGTTGGCTGGTCCTCACTACATGTTCGTCATCAAACCCACTGGCTCCAGGCCATCTATAAATCACTGCTAGGCAAATCCCCGCCTTATCTTAGCTCATTGGTCACCATAGCAGCACCCACCCGTTGTCTCACCTAGCTGTCTTAAGATGAATGCACTAACTGTAAGTATTTTTATTTTATGTATTTATTAAACCTTTATTTAACTAGGTAAGCCAGTTAAGAACAAATTCTTATTTACAGTGACGGCCTACCAAGAGGCAAAAGGCCTCCTGCGGGGACGAGGGATAAAAAATTTAAATGTAGGACAAAACACACACCACAACACTACATGAAGAGAGACCTAAGACAACAACACAGCATGGCAGCAACACATGACAACACAGCATGGTAGCAACACAACATGACAGCAACACGGTAGTGACACAAAGTCGCTCTCGATAAGAGTGTCTGCTAAATCAGTGGTTCAGCAGGGGGGGACGCGGGGGTCCCCCCATTTAATTAAATTTTTTTTTTAAAGGAACTCAGTCCGGATTTTAACTTACTCTTGAAAGTTGTAATAGTAGAATGCACAAGGTGCATCATCAGTTCCTCTTGTCATGTTAGTCATTGCATACCTTAGAGAGCTATTTATAACTTTTTTTGCCCATAGGTATTGTTGTAATTTTTTTGTCACTCAAATATGACATGAATACACATTAGACATGTCAAAATGTATAGAATTGCAAGAAAATGTGCTTTAAAACTGCAAAATGTTAATTGCACCCCATTACAAAATGTGTAGAATTGCAGGAAATAAGCTTTAAACCTGCAAAATTCTCTCCACCAACAAGAGGGGTGTGAACAGTTTGGGTCATGAACAGTGCTTGTGCCCATAGAAATAGACGTGGCATGTGCACGCTTGCGCGGGATGTTCCCCAATGCTGGAAGGGGGGCCCCAGTGAAAAAGTTGGGAACCCCTGTGCTAAATGACTCAAATGTAAATGTAGCCTAACTTCTGAATATTGCCCTGTAAACATGTGGTCGGTTTGTAGGCTGTGTGACTGTGGTTGTCTCTCTGTGTGCCAGCTGCAGGAGCAGGCTGATGCCAGCCGGGCACTGCGGGCAGAGCTGTCCCAGGAGCAGGCCAGGCAGCAGGAGCAGCAGGAGAGGAACCAGGGGGCCAGGGAGAGAGAGGCCCGGCTGGAGACAGAGAGAAACCAGCTCAGAACCAGCCTGGAAGCAGCTCACAGCCAGGTAGATTCAAACACTATAATTAAGCAATAAGGCACCTCAGGGGTTTGTGGTATATGGCCAATATACCACGGCTAAGGGCTGTTCTTATGCACGACGCAACGCGGAATGCCTGGATACAGCACTTAGCCGTGGTATATTGGCCATATACCACAAACCCCAGAGGTGCCTTATTGCTATTATAAACTGGTTACCAACGTAATTAGAGCAGTAAAAATATTTTTTTTGCCATACCTGTTGTGTACGGTCTGATAAACCACGGCTGTCAGCCAATCAGCATTCAGGGCTCGAACCACCCAGTGTATAATAATGTATATAAAACTAGCACTCAACTAGACATGTGCAGTCAACAACTTAGCACTCAACCAGGTGCTTTCACACACATACTAATGTATCCAAAAACTAGCACTCGACTAGAAATATAGAGTGTATAAATTCATGCATATTGATAATGCATGTCACACTCACACAACATATGTTAATCATACTGTAGTGTTTGTCTGTTGATTTATGACTAATGGCAATTTCCCAACACAAATAATTAGTGTCAGTGAATGTCATGAATTAAACCTTAAAAGTTTCAAAAGGCATTTTTAGGCTTTACAGGATGTTGTTTTTCCATTCATCAGGAGAGCGTCTTCTCCTCACATAGTGTCTGACTGAAGCCTGGCTACACTAATCTACAATCCACTCAGATTCCCCCTCCAGCCATGCTCGCAAATTGAATTAGTTTCCGTCTCTGAATTTGTGTTTCAAAAATAGTAATTATTGTTTAACCCCAAAGGAAGCAAGAGAAATGAGTCAGATCTGCACAAGTCATGAATTTTGTGAAATAATAGTTTTCCACCAGCCAAAGGGATACAAGCCTGAAGCGCGGCAATTTACTAACTGTTCAGCTGCTAGGAAATTAAATTGAAGCACATAATTCATATCTTTAGAAAGTTAAATCAATCTGATCAAAAAGTTTCTCACTCATTTACGGCCTGAAATTAATCTCCTTAATCCCAATTTAATATCTGTCATGCATATAAGTGCAGATCTCTCATCTATCTGCCCATCCATGTGACTTAATCCTAAACAGAGAGCTAAGATGGTGCTGCGATTGTCAGATTTAGTCCCATCTATCTTTGAGCCTGATATACACACAGTGGCACACACACACACCTGATGGGAGCTCTAATAGTGGTGTGTCTCCTGTCTGTCCTTCAGCTGAGGGAGCGGGAGAGGACTGTGGGGTGCCTGCAGGAGCGTGTGGTGGAGCTGCAGAGCACCACCCAGAGGCTGCATGAGGAACAGACAGCCTGCCAGGCTCAGCTGCAGCAGTGCAGGAGGGAGCTGGAGAGCAGGGTGGGCCAGAGCCACAGCCACAGCCAAGAGGTCAGAGGACATGTACTGTCCATACGTTGAGAGTATTTTGTGTGTAGTTTGGGGCCTATGTTCCATGTGTGTGTTCTCCTCTTCAGATGAACGTTCTTCAGGAGACGGTGTCCAGGCTGAGGGAGTGTGTAGAGGAGGCCCAGGCCAGCAGCAGGCAGGGGACCATGGACACAGCAGCAGCACAACACAGCCTCAGAGAGCTGAGACTGGAGCTGGCCTCCACCCAGGCCTCCCATAGAGAGAGCATGGAGCTGGTGGGTGCCCTGCTTACACACTGGTACTCTGTTTGTCTGGCATGTATTTATAATGCTGACGTTAAAACAATGACATTAACTCTCGACTTGTTTTAGGGTAATGACTGTGAGGAAATAATGTGTAGTGGGACTAACAATGTATATTTTGTGTGGATGTGGCTGGGCGTGTGATGGTACTGGTCAGCTGGCTGAGCAGAGTCGTGAGACGGCAGGTCTACGTAGTGAGCTGTCCCGCCTGCAGCAGAGAAGCTCCCAGCTGTCAGAGGAGAGAGAGGGCCAGGAAGAGAGGACCAGGCAGCTGGCTGCAGAGCTCCACAGACTACGCACTGCCAGCAGACAGTCACTGGACGAGGTGAGAGAGAAGGATCTACACATCAACATTTCCATTCATCCTCATGGCAATTAACCAATAACCATTCATTTCATTGTCAATATCCAATAACCACTAATATGGTTCTAGATCTTACACTGCCAACAGCCAACCATTAGGTCATGGACCAGATAGCCACACATTAAATCCTAGACTGTTAACAGACCACTACACCATCCCAGGTTTAGAAGTGTGATGGGCCAATCTTTCAACCTTATATATTGTATAATAGGAAAGGGAACTATCCATTATGGGGTTATCTAGTGTAATATACGCAGGGCTGGAAATGAACACTACACCCTTAAGAGAATGCCTGGTCATTAGTGTGGAGCACACAGCCCCTCTGAAGTAGAGACTTAACCTCCACGGGTCACGCTGTACACTAATTGACCACTACAGGCGAGAGCAGGTTCTGTTGTAGAGAAAAGAGGTGTGACTTGTAGCAGTGCCTTTCTGTGTGTGAGGGGCTGTATTCCTAAAGCTGATTAGAAAATGAGACCTCTCTCCCAGACCCCTACAGAGTCTGCATGTACCGCGCGCACGCACACACACACACACACACACACACACACACACACACACACACACACACACACACACATATTCATACATACATACAGAAACAGTTTGCAAAGACACCAACATTTACACACACACGCACAGTTTTGCTTAGAGGAGCTGCCTCACATAATAGCCAAAATATAAATCACAGTTTAACCGAGATACTAAAGACCTTATACAGTACATAAATGTAGTAACCGGTTTTCAATTGAAAATATGTAAACGTCTAAGAGGCCTTATGGTTAAAATATTCTAAGCAATGTGTTTGTATTGTGACAAATCCAAAGCACTTTGTTTGTGTACACAGGCACATACGAGCTGTGTGTGCTTGCTCTGCAGTGCCAAACATCTCTACAATGTGCATGTGTGTTTGTATGTGTGTTTAGCCCAGGGCGCATCTCTGTGGCTCATCGCTGTGGTCTCACGTCATCCTCCTTAAGTGCTGTCAATGTTGCATGGTAACAGCGGCGTTCTGCCCTCTTAATTGGTTTAGGAAAAGCATCCTTGTCATTTTGCGGTCAGCAAACTCCTCCAGAGAAAATGAAGTGCGAGTTGCCCCCTCCCTTCAACCCCCCACGCAACCAGTCCCACAAAGAATAATGATTATGTGCAGCAGGGTGTGTGTGTGTGTGTGTTTGGTTGTCTGTTTTTACTTTCCACTTTTAGAAATAATTGCTGGTTGCTCGGTGGGATCAGAGGAAGGGTATAATGATTCTCTCTGGCCGTGTGGTATGGCTGGGTGCTGGGGAGGGAAGACATTGGGCTGGGGGAGAGCAACTCATTTCACACACCTAAACGTTTGTGAGAGTGTGTGTTTATGTGTGTAAATGTGTTAACATTAGTGTGTTTGTACATTCTGTAACCTGTTTGTGGTGTCTGTGTTTTCTATGTGCTTGATGTGTATCTACATACTGTATGTATGTGTAGCCTAGATGGTGTGTGTGTGTGTGTGTGTGTGTGTGTGTGTGTGTGTGTGTGTGTGTGTGTGTGTGTGTGTGTGTGTGCACGCACAACTGTCCTTTTGCGAGGATTAGCAGGTGAACGCAGCAAGAGGATGATCAGACAGGGAGCACACTGGGGTTTCTGTGCTGTCACACAGGGATTATGGGGGAATATGGAGCTGCAGTACTGCAGTCTGGAGCCTCCAGTCAGGCTCATCCCCCTCTGCCTGCAATCCCCCCTCCCCCCTCCCCCCTCCCCACTCCCACACCACTTTAATTGCCTTTGCTTCTTTCATTAAATGTATTGCCTCTGCATTGGGCTTGTGGAAAGGTCATTGTGGTGGTGATGTGAACACTGCACAGCCTCCGTGTCTCCCAGCCAAGCAGGCAGAGGATAGGGCTGGGGATGGGGATGTGGCTAGGGGTGACTGGTTACTGCTGACCTTCACATTGTTCCTATAAAGAAAAACTTGTAATTTATGTTGACCAGTGACCAGTTCTTTGATGTAGTGGCTCACATGTAAATGCATATTAGCATACGCAGGCATTGTTAAGAGGGATTTAGAGTCAGATGAATGTGAATATGACAGGACAGGATGTTACTAGAAGGAGATGTTTATGGAGGAGTTCACTACAATGTAATTAACTAATTAACTATCGTTTCCCAGTTTCCTACCTGGGCAGGGTTATGGGAAACACTCGTGAATATACAATGCATGTTGCTGTGATTCATTGTTCATCATTCATTGAAAAGGTCCATCAGTCTTCAGAAATGAGAACAAAGATGATATTAGGAAATGCCAATGACAGGTATCATCCTTCTCCCACCTAGGCTCGGTCCTGTGAGGGCAGGCTGGCAGAGCTGAGTGCCCAGCTGGGGAGGTCTCAGCGCTGGGGCCAGGAGCAGCTGGTAGCCCTGGAGGCCCGGGAGGAGGAGGTGGTGCTGATGAAGGTGGAGATGGCTTCTCTCAGGGAGAACTACCATGCCAAGGTGGCCCAGGTCAGACACACATACTTGCACAATGGGTTCTGGGGACATTCTGGTAGGTTTTGCTGACCATGTCACCTGATCAGGAAAAACTCTGGGCCCTTATTATAGCCGGTAGCCTTATTGCCTAACTGTAGAACTAGGCCCAAAGTTTTCCTGATCAATTTATGTGCTCATGAAAACCTCTTGGCTCTAGTTATGACACATATCCTCACACATTGCACTGGCACAGAAAGGCCAAACAGCATAGTTAGTAATCCCCTCTCAATGGAAAATGAGCTGTATAGCCATTATGATGTGCAGTAGGGGTTTGTTCATGTGTCTCTGTTCAGGTGGATGCCTTACACTCACAGCTCGATTCCATGGAGCACAAGTACAGCACATCAGCTAATGAGGTAGTGAACCCTTAAAACCTCCAGATATGTCAGATAGACACTGTTAGGGTTCTGAGTTGTAGAATCTCATTACATCCTTTCTCTCTCTCTCCCCATCGCTCTCTCTTTCTCACCCATCTCTCTGTCTCAGGTGGAGGTGTTGCGCCAGTCTCTGGGTAACGCTCGTTCAGACAGTTCTCTTCTACACAGGGAGAGTGAGCTGGTGGTAACCAACGTCAACCAGTGGGTGAAGGAGCAGAAGTAAGAGCATATGTAACTCCACACACCCACTGATGCCCAGTCATTTTCTACATTACATTCACTAAGCAGCATTAACCCTGTCTTAACCCTGTCTTAACCCTGTCTTTACCCTGTCGACAGGCAAGGCAATGAAAAACTGAACCTCAAGATCAAAGACCAGAGCAAAAAGATAATTCATCTCACAGCAGAGAAGGAGTAAGAGCTCTTCCACACACATCCAACCTACCCTGTGTGGTATATGGCCAATATACCACGGCTAAGGGATGTTATTATGCACAACGCAACGCGGAGTGCCTGGATACAACCCTTAGCCTTGGTACATTGGCCATAAACCACAAACCCCAGAGGTGCCTTATTGCTATTATAAACTGGTTTCCAACGTAATTAGAGCAGTAAAAATAAATGGTTTGTCATACCCGTGGTATATGGTCTGATATACCACGGCTGTCAGCCAATCAGCATTCAGGACTCGAACCACCCAGTTTATAATTATGATAGGTTTATTTGAACAGTGAGAGACAGAATAACAACAAAAAAATCCAGAAAAACGCATGTCAAAAATGTTATAAATTGATTTGCATTTTAATGAGGGAAATAAGTATTTGACCCCCTCTGAATCAGAAAGATTTCTGGCTCCCAGGTGTCTTTTATACAGGTAACGAGCTGAGATTAGGCGCACACTCTTAAAGGGAGTGCTCCTAATCTCAGTTTGTTACCTGTATAATAGACACCTGTCCACAGAAGCAATCAATCAATCAGATTCCAAACTCTCCACCATGGCCAAGACCACAGAGCTCTTCAAGGATGTTAGGGACAATATTGTAGACCTACACAAGGCTGGAATGGGCTACAAGACCATCGCCAAGCAGCTTGGTGAGAAGGTGACAACAGTTGGTGCGATTATTCGAAAATGGAAGAAACACAAAAGACCTGTCAATCTCCCTCGGCCTGGGGCTCCATGCAAGATCTCACCTCGTGGAGTTGCAATGATCATGAGAACAGTGAGGAATCAGCCCAGAACTACACGGGAGGATCTTGTCAATGATCTCAAGGCAGCTGGGACCATAGTCACCAAGAAAACAATTGGTAACACACTACGCCGTGAAGGACTGAAATCCTGCAGCGCCCGCAAGGTCCCCCTGCTCAAGAAAGCACATATACAGGCCCGTCTGAAGTTTGCCAATGAACATCTGAATGATTCAGAGGAGAACTGGGTGAAAGTGTTGTGGTCAGATGAGACCAAAATGGAGCTCTTTGGCATCAACTCAACTCGCCGTGTTTGGAGGAGGAGGAATGCTGCCTATGACCCCAAGAACACCATCCCCACCGTCAAACATGGAGGTGGAAACATTATGCTTTGGGGGTGTTTTTCTGCTAAGGGGACAGGACAACTTCACCGCATCAAAGGGACGATGGACGGCGCCATGTACCGTCAAATCTTGGGTGAGAACCTCCTTCCCTCAGCCAGGGCATTGAAAATGGGTCGTCAATGGGTATTCCAGCATGACAATGACCCAAAACACACAGCCAAGGCAACAAAGGAGTGGCTCAAGAAGAGGCACATTAAGGTCCTGGAGTGGCCTAGCCAGTCTCCAGACCTTAATCCCTTAGAAAATCTGTGGAGTGAGCTGAAGGTTCGCGTTGCCAAACGTCAGGCTCGAAACCTTAATGACTTGGAGAAGATCTGCAAAGAGGAGTGGGACAAAATCCCTCCTGAAATGTGTGCAAACCTGGTGGCCAACTACAAGAAACGTCTGACCTCTGTGATTGCCAACAAGGGTTTTGCCACCAAGTACTAAGTCATGTTTTGCAGAGGGGTCAAATACTTATTTCCCTCATTAAAATGCAAATCAATTTATAACATTTTTGACATGCGTTATTCTGTCTCTCACTGTTCAAATAAACCTACCATTAAAATGATAGACTGATCATGTCTTTGTCAGTGGGCAAACGTACAAAATCAGCAGGGGATCAAATACTTTTTTCCCTCACTGTAGGTCCCCATGTTTAGAGCACTGGTTAACAAGTTTACAGGAGTTAGATGGCTTTAGATTAGATGGGGCAGGGAGCATACTGTACGTGTGAAATCAATGTAAATTGAGCCACCCAGGAGTGACCCGGTTTATTAACTCTGTGTCCAGTCACCTGCAGGAGAGTGTGGAGGGTCTGCATGAGGAGATGAAGAGGCTGAAGGCTGAGCTGGATGAGAGCAGGATTGAGGCTGAGAGGATCAGGGTACGTACCATACCCAGTTACACACACTGGATAACACTGTCAGACCTCAACACATTTACAACCTTGATATACTGTAATATAACACCACCAATTTAAGAGCATTGTTCCTTTCTATTGAGTAATCCCACTTGTTTTTGTGTCAGGCCTCTCAAGCCAGTGTGAGTGACCAGCGCCAGCGCGGTGGCCTGGGCAGACTTCCCATCCAGCTGCTCCACACAGAGTGAGTGCTGTACTACTGACACTGACCTGAGACACACTGGATCAGTGGGCTTGGCTCTAGTCCATCCTATTCTCTTTGAGACAACCCTGACAACTTCCCAGTCCTCCAGGAACAAGAAGCAGCAGGTCCATACGAGGCTAATGACTACATGTTCTCTAACTTCTCACTAGTTTTTTTGCTGGGGCTCTAGAGGCAGCGTCAGTGACAAAGCAGTGACTTCCCAGACCGAGTGAATTCCTCTCTGTGTGTTTCTAGAGTGGAGCTGAGACATGGGTCAATAGCAACAATCACAAACGCATCTCAGACAGTATCGGTTAAGAGCGGGAGCCCGTCTGTAACTCATAAGAGCTATTGGCAGCTATGTTGATTTCTGTTGTTCTGGGATTAGCATAGGCCTCTCTGTGTTTCTGGGGGCTAATGGCCCGTGTCGTCCGGCTGTGAAATCAGTGGCCTGAGAGCCTCTGAGAAGCCTGCAGATTGGTGTTTCAAATCCCCCACCCCCCTCTAATGCAGCCCAGCATGTCTCAGCCACTCTCTCCATCTCCCAGATAGTCCCTGAGTAGAACAGCTTAGCTGTTTCGAGTTCCCCCTCCGCACCCTGGGTGACCCCCACTGCAGTCTCCTCACGCCGGGGCCCATACGCCACCGGCCCTTCCTGCCCCACAGGACCACCGCAGCTTGTTAACACTGAAGATGCATTTGTGCAGTCAGGCGGGAAATCATGGAGGTGTCTATGGACGGTGGTGATCAAAGGCCTGGTGCTCTGACACTGAGGACTGGAGGAGGGGTTAGAGATAACCTCTAGTCTAGCCTCCTATCAGGTCCGATCATCCCACCTAACAGAGACAGCAGACAGGCAAACAGAGAGACAGACTGAGACAAACAGACAGACAGACAGGCAGATAGACAGATGGACAGACTGGTAGGCAGACAAACAGAGCCATCCAAGGACACAGTCTCCTCTCCTCTGGGCCAGACCGTTCTTAGTCATGTCTGTTTACAGAAACCAGTCTAGACACTCAGACAGACATGTCACCCACACATTGCCATGGTACCGACTATATCTTTTTAAAATTGAACTTGCATTTTATATGTGATGCTGAGAAAAGGTGATTTATTGGTGAAATTGTGTTCCATATGGTTGTTTGACAGTTGAAGCCGTCTCATTTCGCCCTGCCTATACTCCCCTCGCTTTAAAGTAAGCCAGTGCTCACTGGCATTTCCCTGTAATACGTTCCCGTCTGATTTCCTCCTAAATTGAAATGCGGTAAAGTTAGGGCTGATTGGTGGGATAACTTTTGGTGAGTGTGAGATAGAGGGAGAGAGAGAGAGAAAGAGACTAGGCTGGCTGTTTGAACCCAATCAGAGCCCTGTGTTGACTGTGCTGATTAGAGGCTTGTAGTGAGTGGGTTCCATTCTATCCCATCATTCCCTGTGTTTGCTCTGATAACGGAGCCTCAACACTCATCATCGCCCTAACCTCATCCTCATGGTGTCACTTACAGCACGCCACACTGAGCTCTCTCAAACTTCTTACGCAAGCTGGGTAATGTACCAAAAGTCCCTTTAGAACTTTAAACCTGCTTTGAAAGAACAGTTAGCATGCTTTGGAAAAAACTAAACTGGTTGGCTGAGTGTGTTAAAAAAACATTTTTTTTAAAAAGTTGCAATATGTAGTTGAGGAGCACTGAGGCATTGGGTGGACAGTGCTCTGGAGAGCACACTGTAGGCTGATAAGTGTGTGTGCGTTGTTCGTGCGTGTTGCCTGACCTGATACCAATAAAGGGCAGATGCAAACTCAGCCCATAAACGCCCACTGGTTGACTGAGGCTTCACTCAGCTAATGTTCCAGGACATCCAGGAAGCCTGTAGGGAGCTGGGAGAACAGAGAGGAGCTCTAAAAGCAGCCAGAGAGAGGGAGTAAATACAAATAAATAGATAAATAAGTGAATGGCATGAGAGGAGCGGAGGGAACAGTGTGTCCATTCTCACGCATGCAGCGCGTTTGTTTATTTATGGCGTCTGAGGGCCTGAGCAGGGCTGGGAGGAGGAGGGGGTTGTGGGGTGAGGGTGCTGGGGGTGCTGGGGGAGGACACTGGGCCTCTCCTTCCTTATGCATGCCTGACTCTGCTCCCCAGCTTTCATTAAGTGTCATTACCAGGGCTTTCAGTGCTAGAGCCAAGCTGAGACCTGACATCCACTCCATAGATGTGTGCATGCATATGGATGGACTGCTGATCCCTCTTATCCTCCACTAAGGAGGGAGAATTAGGCCGAGGAGAGGAGAGGAGAGGAGAGGAGAGGAGAGGAGAGGAGAGGAGAGGAGAGGAGAGGAGAGGAGAGGAGAGGAGAGGAGAGGAGAGGGATGCAGCCATATCTGACTTTAATGGTCAGGATATAGCTATTACTTAAATGAAGGACAGTATTCATGCCTGATTTGTTGTCATGAATATGTCATACGGGTCGGGTTATCCACATTTAGAGTGTGTGTACACTTACTGAATTCCGTCTGGTGATGGTAAAGGCCATGTACACTGCAGCGTGTTGTAGTTAAGGATGACTAGGAGTTTTTGTGCATATCTATACAGTTACATATCGGGATATTATTTTGTACAATATATCGTATCATTTTGACAATCGCAATATAATTTTGGGCTAGTTGGCTGTACCTGCACCAAAACTCTAGTATCTTTCCTTCATCTTCTTTTTAAATAGGGAGAAAAATAAATGTCAGCACTTTTATCACTTTCTCATGACTCTCTTGTCCCTCTGCAGCAATATGTTTGGAACATCAAATCACAATAAAATCACAATACCGTATCGCAATACATATAGAATCGTGAAAAATCGCAATACATATCGTATCGGCACCTAAGTAGCACGATAATATCGTATCGTGAGGTGCCGGGCAATTCCCAGCTCTAATGGCCAGTAGCAGAAATAAAGGCGTGCTGCTGATGTAAAATGTGCATTTCCTTCTACGCATGGTGTTCATTAGCAATGTCCCTTTCCAGTTCACTTCCTGTTAGAAGGCCTGCTGATTGATGGCTTGTGCTGTTTATTTGGATATCAGCGAATGAAATATTCATGTTGTTCGCTTTCCCAAGCAGAAGTTATCTAGATGCAACGTAAATGGTACTTGGGATTAGATTTTCACAGCAGATTGCTGTTATTAAAGGAAAAAAGGGTGAAAAGAGTGTGTGAGCAGTTGTCTTCCTGGGAGGCAATCTATTTATCTTCCACACAGAGCACCGGAGCGCTGGACCAGGCTCCTAATGCACTGGAGAAAAAGTGCTTTGGTCCGCAACCTTTCACGCCTTCACCTCCCCTTTATGTGATTGAATAGTTCATAACTTTGACTTTCCTTTGAAAGCCTGTGACGTGGCTCCTGCTGAACGGCCTGTTGTCTGGCTGGCACACCTGCCTATTGCTCTCTCTGTCTGTCTGACTGACTGCCTGACTACATGTCTACTTGGCCCAGATGCCAGATTGTCTGATAGCCCACCTCTCTCTTCCACAAGCCCTCTCACTTTCATGCCTGTCCCAACGCCTAGCCCATCTGTCTGCCTTATAGGAGCCTGTACATCATCAGAATTTTGATGGAAAGGGGTTTTGATTTCTTACTCTTCTTCTCTCCTTCTAGACACAAATAGACACACACACACACACACACACAGGGAGCTCATTAGCGCACCCCGCGCTCACAGCTCCAGCAGAATGTGACCCTGCCTAATTGTGCACCATGCTCATTTGTTCTCCCTGCATGATGTGGCGATTGCTTATTTATTCTCCTCAGGGCTCCTCTCTCACATTAAAATGATTGACTTGTTTAATTCAATGCACATTTGCCAAGCTTTATTTGATAAGCTCATTTCCCCTGTTCCCATGTTTAAAAGTTCTAATGTTCCCAATGCAGATTATTATTCATACTTGTGATTGTTTCTTCGGCTAATTATCTGTGTTGGAATAATTTTGCATCTGTGAGCCTGTTTATCCCTGCGGAATGAAACGACACAAAAGGGCACACATTAACGATGCGGCTGGAATAGCCGAGGAGCCAATTGTGTACACAAAGCTGGCAGACGCGGTCAACAAGAAGCTTAACAGGGATTGGGACATCGTGGAAGGTTTACCAAAATAAGCAGACAGAATTTGCATTCGGTTAGAGGGCTGTTGACGAACAGAGCCATCAACATTTGGTCCATCAGGTAATGAGACAGGCTCTGTTTTGACATGGATATATGCAGCGAGGTGGAGCAAAACAAGTTGTACTTAATAGGTTAAGGTGAGAAGCGCAGATCCACTCCACTCTGACCCATTGACCACCATCACCCCTGTCCTCCCCTACAGTGGTGAGACCCTCCCTGCCCCAGACCAAGAAGAGAGTTATAGAGAGACTCAGGAGCTTAGAGAACAGAGCCAGTACCAGAGCAGAGACAGAGACAAGCTAGCTGCAGGAGACCTGTTCAGTAGTGTACTGGTAGGTTAATACACTGAAATGGATATGAACTCACCGACAGAGGACACAGTGGGATAGTACTAGGTAGGGGAATGATTGGCAGTATTCCTGCAGTGGGAGGTGAATGATAGCGTCATAATGAGTCATGTATTAACAGTAATTCTCTGGATAATATTCATGATGACAAATATGCAAAGTTAAGGTCCATGGTGATGCCAACATACCAATAGTAACACTGAGCTCTGAGCCTGACTATTGATGGTATCTTATTTGAATGTACAGTCATCTGTTTCTGTCTGCTTCTGCTCTGTCTCAGATCTGCTCTGACTGCGAGAGGAGCCTTGAGTGGTCAGGGAGACAACCTGTGGAGGAGGAATGCTCTGGCTGCCAACCTCCATCTGCGCTAGCCTCAGCCTGTGCCTGCCTGGCAGGCAGGGGGGCCACGTTTGCTGCTGAGGTGGCCAGGAGAGTGGCCCTTAGGGCCCTGGAGCGCAGACCCCTGCCATGTGGCCACCACCACTGGAGCAGACCCCGCTCCCTCAGCTGGGATGGGCCACGCCCTACACATCTCAGGGAGGGACACTGATGGGTGCTAGCATGAACCAGTGAGAAGGGAAGTACAGGTAGTTATGTTATTATGACTCAAAGGAATACAGCACAAAAATATTGTTTATGATTTTGTAGCTTGATAGGTATGAATAAATTATTGTATTATATTATTGAATAAATTATTATTTAATGAGAATACTAAACTTGAATAATTTAATTTCTTTGTATTTTCAGTATATATATTTTTCAAAATCTTATTTTTGTGGCACAATATGTTCTCTTTCTTATGTTCTTGATGGCTTAATGTGATTTTGTGGCGCTACTACCTTTGAGTTACCTATGCCTTACAATTTATTGAGAAATCAGCTCAGTACTTAGAATTTAATTTACAACTTTTTTTTTTTAATGATTGGTTTTATTTATTTAAATTTTATGAATGTACAGAAATCTGTTGTGAATAAGTAGACAATCATTATTTTATTTTTTTCTCATAATCTATAACTTGGCTGAAAGGGTAATGGATCAGAACCTTACCTGTACAGTATCTGGGTCGTTCCACCAATTCAGTGCCTTTTGAGAAGTGTATCTTGGTCATAAAAAACGTGTGATTTCACCCAATTTTGACATTCTGTCATAAAGAGCACATGTTCATCTTCATTAAAAAAGCACGTTGCCATCTCAAGAGGTTAAATTAAAAAAATACTCTAGTAAGTGCTGAAAAAAGTAACAGGGTTGACCGTATCAGGTATGATGATTTCATCTTAAATCCACCATAAATCCCCTCGTGACAGGGGGAATGGAAGCTTGTTGTGTGCAGCAGACAGTGGCAATTGAAAGCAAGCTTCACCAAAAAAATCAAATTGCTAAAACATTACTAGCCTGTCTATCTATGGGTAACAGGGTTGACATGTTATGATTGACCTGCTCAGTTTTCCACCACAACACACCAGAAAATCGCCAAAAAGAGTAATACAGGCTCACCTGCTTTTACACTATGATTTGACTATTAGATGTTCAATGTTTCTTTTGAAAGACAAACGTTTTAAATGAATAGTTTCACCATATTAAAACGAGAGTTCAGTTCACGTAACAGGGTTGACCTTAAAATGAGTGACAGAGGTAAATGAATCACTAATCAAATGAAATACATAATAATCTTCAGAAATGACTGTCAAAGCAACAAAATACCTAGGGATTTACAATGATGGTGAAACTTGGAGAAATGTTTGTATTAAGTGGGTTGAAGTCTTTCTAGAAGTGACACAGGGTTGGTGGAGGGATGTCAAAATGCTGAATTTTCGCACTTTAGCAAGCCTTTATTCATATAAAAAATCAGATTTATTGAATTCTCCATGCGGTCTATATTAAAGGGCACTTCATTGAATAGAACACAATTTTCTACTTAAAATATCAAAAGGCACTCTTTTCGTGGAACGACCCAGCTGACGAATACTTGTATCTATCCATTCAGGGTTTTGAGTTTCATTTACATTTTTATACAAACCTAGAAAGAAAGAATTAGAAAAAAAGTGTCCAGACTTTTATTGTGGTATAAGAAATGATGAATTGATGTCTAGATCAAAGTCATACAAATGTATTGGGGGATTTCATGTTTTCAGTCACCTAGAGCAATACGTCCTTGAGTTCATGTAAATCCTAATGAATTGTGTGTAGGCAGAGAAGTCTTTGTGGCCAAATAAAAGGCTGGTAAAGGCATCTAAACCCATAACAAGTGTCCCTTTTGTTCTAGCACTACTCCATTCATCATGAGTTGGCTGTGTGAATTCAGGCATTGCTGCAGCTTTGAGAGCAACTCTGCGAGTTCCATGCCCACCAGCTTTCAATCACTGGGGATGTCAGAGTTTGACAGTAGAAAGTAGTTTTTCTGACTAGAAGAAAATAAGAGCCCTAAGCAATGGTAGATGAGCTGTTAGTAAGCACACAGTCCACTGGGAGAGAGACAGAGCATGGCAGCATACTGTACATGGAGTGCAGTGGTGAAGAACAAAATGTGAAACAGGCAATAGTGGAGATTAGATCTTCATTTATTGATAGAGGTCAGTGGTTTTATTTTAACATAACATTATATACATATATAGACAAAAATAACTTAAACAATTATATTTTATCGATCTAGATAAACAAAAGCGAAATGTAATACTATTGTTTGCAGATATTATAGATATCCAAACTATAGCGCCCCCCCCCACCCCCATACAGTAATTACAGTAATAAACCATGCCCATCATTGTAATGCTCCACACCAGCATGCAGGGAGAACTTTAGAGGAGGTGTGTTCACAGGGAAGGTATGTGTCCTAAAGAGGCCCTAGTCAGTCGATGGGATCGAGCAGTGGCTGTTGTTCACTGGCAGCCTGCTAGGATTAATCCCAGCCTTACAGGAAGAAGACACCATCTCTTTCTGCCTTGGCCAGATCAATAGGCAACATTCTCTCCAGCACAGCAGTCAATACCCAACACTTAAGGTGTCTGAGGAAACTAAAGAATGCCAATAATTGTTATTAATGCCTAGGATTTCCCCAAGTACTGCATTTATAGGGTAATTCCAGTGTAACAGACGTTCAACCAACATCACACACACACAACACCAATGCCCTCTGGCAAAGTATTGTATATACACATTTTAAGAAACCTATACACAAATACAGAGATGAAAACAATCTACAAATTGGAAGTGTCATCCTTTTTTCAAATAAGTATAGAGTTTGTAACCCGATTATAAATGGTATTGCTCTTTTGAGTCCGATACTATAATAGTACTGAGTAGTGAGCTACAGCACCATGTTCAGAGTAAAACCTTGGCCAGTTCAGGGCTTATGGAGAAATTGGTCACACTGGATATACTGAAATCCAATAATTTGCCAAACGTGCTAGTTTATTCAGTATGCCTGATGTGCCTTTGGTATATTAAGCAATAAGGCCTGAGGAGGTGTGGTATATTTAAGCAATAAGGCCCGAGGGGGTGTGGTATACACGACGCAACGTCATATACCACAAACCCCAGAGGTGCCTTATTGCTTAAATAACAAAAACGTCACATAATCGTCATAATATATGCACAAACTGTTTCGACTGGGAACATGAGACAGGCTTTAGCTGTGGTATATTGGTCATATTATACCACAAAACCCAGAGGTGCCTTATTGCCATTACAAACCAGTTAACAACATAAATATAACAGTTAACAAGTAGTTTTGAGTTATACCTGTGGTATCTCTACAACATTCGGAGAGTACGACCCTGCCTTACACAGGAAGTGGCACAGGTCCTAATCCAGGCACTTGTCATCTCCCGTCTGGATTACTGCAACTCGCTGTTGGCTGGCCTCCCTGCCTGTGCCATTAAACCCCTACAACTCATCCAGAACGCCGCAGCCCGTCTGGTGTTCAACCTTCCCAAGTTCTCTCACGTCACCCCCCTCCTCCGCACACTCCACTGGCTTCCAGTTGAAGCTCGCATCCGTTACAAGACCATGGTGCTTGCCTATGGAGCAGTGAGGGGAACGGCACCTCTGTACCTTCGGGCTCTGATCAGTCCCTACATCCAAACGAGGGCATTGCGTTCATCCACCTCTGGCCTGCTGGCTCCCCTTCCTCTGCGGAAGCATAGTTCCCGCTCAGCCCAGTCAAAACTGTTCGCTGCTCTGGCACCCCAATGGTGGAACAAGCTCCCTCACGACGCCAGGACAGCGGAGTCACTCACCACCTTCCGGAGACATTTGAAACCCCACCTCTTTAAGGAATACCTGGGATAGGATAAAGTAATCCTTCTACCCCCCCCCCCCCCCCCCCCCCCCCCCCCCCAAAAAAAAACATTTGTAAAGTGGTTATCCCACTGGCTATAGGGTGAATGCACCAATTTGTGAGTCGCTCTGGATAAGAGCGTCTGCTAAATGACGTAAATGTGCCCTTGAGCAAGGCACTTAACCCTAATTGCTCCTGTAAGTCGCTCTGGATAAGAGCGTCTGCTAAATGACTAAAATGTAAATGTAAATGTATATTGTCTGATATACACACGGCTGGAATGCTGTTTCAGCCGATCAGCATCCAGGACCCAAACTACCCGGTTTATAATGGCATTTAATGAAATGTTGAACATTGTGGGTGTCTTTAATAGCAGGTGTTATTCCGGCCACGTGCTGAGGAATGGATTTGTGTTGATTGTGGGGTGTTATGAAGCATGATGACAGACGTTAAAGAAATAGCACATTTTAATGCCTTTCTCCTTGTCTCCAAGATCAAGAGGATTTTTTTCTGAGAGCCAAAGAAAGGCATTGATAATTTTGTCTGATTGCTCAAGGATCATAATTATACCTCTGCCACTTTGAAGCTGCTCTCAGGAAGATAAAAAATAGAATTTTAGGCATTGCCTGCCATATGAATAAGATCTCAGTGAAATGTATTTTTTAAATTATGTAAATATGACCTTTCTCCCATCAACCAGTCAGTTTTTCCTCTACTGTATGTTAAGATTCCAGGAAGCAAAGAATACAACTTAAAAATTGACTTTACCATGAGTATCTATCTACTCCAGCATGGATGTGGGCTGTCCTGTATGTATTTTTGAATTCCATCCAATTGTGGGCCCCGTGTAGCTCAGTTGGTAGAGCATGGCGCTTGCAACGCCAGGGTTGTGGGTTCGTTTCCCACGGGGGGCCAGTATGAAAATGTATGCACTCACTAACTGTAAGTCGCTCTGGATAAGAGCGTCTGCTAAATGACTAAAATGTAAATGTATTCATTCTGAAAGCACAGGGTCAGAGTTCACAGGTTTTAAATGTAAGCCATCGTCCTTTCACAAGGCCTAAATACATACTGTACGTATGAGTTGCAAGGACAAGATCTCCCATTGTGTGGGCTGCAGCAGAAAGAGTAGGACTGCTTCAGGGAGAGGGGCCCTTGGAATTGTTTTTATTTCACTCAAGCACCACCACTCCACACGACACAACAGCCGCTCTAGCAGTGGAAAGTAGGACAGTAAACTCCAAGCATACGTTCCCTACCTCCTCTTTCCATTG